ACTTCTGTAATGTAAAAACTAATTGTTTGCTTGAATTGTGATTAGATCAATACACGGTAAAAAATACTAGCAACTTCTGTAATGTAAAAACTAATTGTTTGCTTGAATTGTGATTAGATCAATACACGGTAAAAAATACTAGCGACTTTTAAAGTTTATTAAACAAATAAATTATATAATTAATAATAACAAGCAACATTTTTTTGTTCTCGATTTTATTTCTTTTTTCGTTATATTTTAGAAATAACAACACCCTCTACAACTACGACAACCACTACAACAACGACTACAACTACCACGCGGCCGCCTATAATTATTCCTGTAACTTACAACAACTACAGACCGTCATTTTCAAAACCTTCAACAACCACAACAACAACTTTGAAGCCATCTACCATATCATCAATTACAACAACATCAGCTAGGATATCAACGTTTCGCAACTCAACATGGTATTTTGCTTCATTGCCGTCGTTCACTGTTTCGCCACCAGGAGATCATATGGGAGAATTTTCTTCATCTACAGGACTGCTTGATAGGACTTCAACCCTTAAAACAGTGTTTCACCTCCATACAGGTATGGCTGGAATCGCTGACCTTAACACGCTCTATTGTAATGCTAATCACTCAAGAGCTATTGTTCAAGGTAATTGACTTAATGGGTTGGGTACTTTTTACACATAAATTAATTATTTATTACTGAGCTTAGGTTGATGAATAAAGTCGAATCACGCTAGAGGATAAATCGGTTTTGATAATACCATGAAAAATTATTTCTAAGTGTTAGTAATGTTCTCTTTGTAATTCAAATTAAGACTATTAATGTATGGTACACGATGGTAGTATGTAAAGTTTCAGTTCTAGGAGATGAACATTACAATTTTATGGTAGTATGTAAAGTTTCAGTTCTAGGAGATGAACATTACAATTTTATGGAATACGTTTAGTAAGCAAATTTCACGATTTTCTAAATAATCAACTTAATGAAAATTTCTAAAAATCAGAACAAGCTTTATGAGCTTTTTTTATCGACAAGATAATTAATGATTTAAAAAATTCAATTCACCAAAACTTTCGAAATTTCCTGCATTAAATTAATGGACTTGGCATCAACACATTTTACATCTGGCTGATCTAGTTTCCTATCTGTGGTACGTAAGTTTAACTTTCCAGCGCAATTCTCCAGTTGATTAAAACTGAGTGAGAAAAAAATTCAGTCTTTAAATGCAATCAGCTAACGTATACATGAATCAGGGAAAGTTGAAAGTAACATAAAAGATATCGTCGTAGCAAAAATTAAGTCTCACTCCAATCCTGGTTTGAAAAGAATTAGGGACGGACTTTTATTTGAATAATCCAGTTCTTTGAAGATTCATATATAAATACACTGTAGTTTATTTCTTAAGAACAAGCAAATAAAAGGAGCTGGAGAATATTCAGTGATTTACGAAGAACCTTTGGTGCCAGAAAAAAATCATAATGATTGGGCATCAGAATAAAAAATAAATGTTGCTACTATTTGAATTTTTATTAATTTTGACAGTTAGCTAAAAATGAGATCTATCTATTTATTTATATTGATCGAATGTTAGAAACAAAACGATTAGTCGGGGTCCAAATATAAAATTCGCCCCCCACACACAGAAAAAGCTTAACACCTTTTTTATGAAGAGATAAGTCACTAGAAGTGATTTTAGGGATTATGTGGTATTATGCAGTGGTAACTTTGAGAAAGATGGAAGCTTTTATAATTCATGTGAAAATGCAATTTGTGTAAGTAAATCATATCGTGGCTTGGTCTAGAAACACATTCAGCAAAGTTTGGAAAGACATAGTACTAAAAACAAACAGCAAACTTTGATAGCAAATTAAAAGAGAGTATAGTGGGTTTAACTTCATATCCAGAAGCCTTGTCTAGATGGTCCATCTCCTCCCATTAGAGCTCAACTATTACTACTTCCATTAAGGTAATGTGTTCTCAGATGTTTCACAAGGGAAACACAAGGAGGCTGCAGCACATCGTATGCAACGAGATGAAGATGTAAATATGATTTTATATGGCATTCACATACTCGATGACAAATTAATTTAATTTGAATCCTGACTTTATGGCACTCGCCAAAATTGCAAATGGCAAGGCCCAGCATAGCCAGGTGGTTAGGGCGCTCGACTCGCAATCTGCGGGTCGCAGGTTTGAATCCCCGTCACACCAAATATGCTTGCCCTTTCAGCAGTAGGGGCGTTATGATGTGACGGTCAATCCTACTATTCGTTGGTAAAAGAGTAGCCCAGGAGTTGGCAGCGGGTGGTCATGACTAGTTGTCTTCCCTCTAGTCTTACACTTCTAAATTAGGGAAGGCTAGCGCAGACAGTCCTTGTGTAGCTTTGCGCGAAATACATAACAAACAAGCAAACAAGCAAATGGGAATGTCACACCCGTAGATATCACCGATGATAGAGGAATTAAAGTAATTAAACAGTCCGTGAAAGACGAACTCAACTGAAATATCACTGTTTTCATTGAACCATTGAAGAAGCCCAACATCAAGACATTTGCATCTCTAAGCAAGAAGATCAAATCAAACGCCATTAGTGATGAGACAGTGACACTCAGTGCATGCAGAGAGTTACTTAGTCATCTTGTAGTAGTTGCACAAACAAGAGGGAGGCTGACTTGAAAGAAATTTTCACACAAGAGCTTCCTACAGTTCCATGTTCTCTATCACATTCTGATGGTACTCCGTATAATAATGCATAGAGTAAGCTATTGTCTGAATTATAAAAAAATGGGAACAGAATTAAAGTATCAACTGGTAGCATCTAGCAAGCCCACAACTTGGATAATGAATGGCATGGCTGTTATACAAATGGTCAAGGAAGAGGTACGAGTGGCTTTTGAGGACTTGCTAAGTTGATCTTTAGAGAAATATGTCAGTCTCTCTAGAGTTATGAGTCCTGCAAAAGAGTAGATATCATCTTTGATTGTTATGATGTAAAAGATTCAATTAAAGCATTTGAGCGTGCATGAAGACAGCCTTAAAAAAAGTAATGAAGTCACGATCCATGGTCCAAAAACATCTATCCCAATGCAAGTTGGAAATCCTAAAAATAAAAAAACAAATCTGGTAAAATTCCTGTCCCACATCAGAAAATGGTTATTGCAGGTGGAACCAAGAATGGCATCCTTGCTTGAATGGTCACTTCAGATGTAGTCGTGGAGTAAGAAGGCCTATCCTCTTTATACGAAGAAGCAGATACCTGAATTCTACTTCATGTTGCACATACTTCACAAGAATATCCTTGTGTAGTGGTTATGTATCTAGACATTGTATTCACAAGTTGGAAGCAACTGAGGAGCTTTGTTTACTGGTGTGAAGGACAAAGAATAAGAAACTAGTACACCTCATTTTATGTGTTTGTTTAATTTGTCTACAATTTGTATTTTATAAGAGACATTATTCTAAATTCTTACATTTCAAATGAGGTGTTTTGAGAATTTTTATTTGTGTTTAGTCTATATTTAAAATTTTTTTGAGATTTTAGAACAAGGGATTAGCTAGTTCACAAAACGACAATGATCATGAGCTTTGAGTACAAATGGAAATTACACCATCAACGAGTCAGGCGTTGCCTGGTGGTCAGCCTACAGTACTATGGATTTGGAAGTCCAGAGCTCGAGCCCGCAAAGTGCCACTGAACACGCTTCATACTTTCAGCTTTGAATGCGTTATAAAAGAGACAGTCAATCCTTTTATTATATTAAAAGTAGCCTTGTAGATAATAGATAAATTAGAGATGACTGTGCCTGAATCTTGGAGCTTCTGATGTGTTGCATTAGGTGGCGTCCATGTTGAAAATACCAAACATCAAGTAATATACGATGAAATACATGGAATTTGTTTTTTAATTTCTATTAATATCCTCCTTAATCCCCTAGTGGCACAGCGGTATGTCTGCGGACTTATAGCACTAGAAACCGGACTTTGATACCCGTGGTGTGCAGAGCAAAGATAGCCCCCTTTGTGTAGTTTTATGCTTAATAACAAACACCAACATATCATCCTTAATCCCCTAGTGGCACAGCGGTATGTCTGCGGACTTATAGCACTAGAAACCGGACTTTGATACCCGTGGTGTGCAGAGCAAAGATAGCCCCCTTTGTGTAGTTTTATGTTTAATAACAAACACCAACATATCCTCCTTAATCCCCTAGTGGCACAGCGGTATGTCTGCGGACTTATAGCACTAGAAACCGGACTTTGATACCCGTGGTGTGCAGAGCAAAGATAGCCCCCTTTGTGTAGTTTTATGCTTAATAACAAACACCAACATATCTTCCTTTAAACGAATTTAATTTTTTCAAAGTTTTTATTGTTCTCAAAGTAAATGACTTGCGGATTTTTTTTTACCCAAGCATACAATTTAATTATTCATTCAAAAACCGCCCGATGAATGGGCAGTGGTAAAATACAAGATTATTAAAAGATGTAATTTCATTTTTTTGGGGGTTGCATGTCAAGCGCAATCTTAAAAGAATATTTAAAAAAAATATCCCGCTTATAAATACTGACAGTAGATTATTCTGAAACACGTAATATACATTTCACGACAAAGTAGCAGAGCAGAGAAAATCTGAAGCCCTTAAAGTCTAGCTTTAAAGAACAATAAAGTTATAGGAACAACATCGCCATATTGTTGTTATTATTTGTTTGTTTTTAGCACCGTTGGAATAGAACCTTTGATTTTAACGTGGTATGCTTCTATTACACGAGAAAACCTAGAAAATATAATACATACAAACAGTTATATGTGAAATTGTTCGTTTTGAAATACAGATTTTTCTGAGTTAGCAAGAAAATACGATCTTAATAATATTATGTACGTTATGCTGTCCTCGAGGTAACTTTTAGATTTTGCAAAAAAAAAAAAATGACTTTAAATAGTTTTTGTTGCTTAGGCAACAGATCAGTTTATTTTATTATTTTGAAGCTGTGATCTAAACGTTAAGAGAGTACAACGATGGCCTATAATTTCGCGTGATAAAATGCTGTTGAGTCTATCTAATAACTCATAAACACAGAGAAGACTATATGTTAATATTCAAGTATCACTTTACCTATATATAATATAAAACAGAACCTTAATTTAAGAAGTAACATTTGTTTGTTTGTTGTTTTTCAAGTAAGTCTTTGTTCGCTTTTCCGTGATCTTATCATTCAGGAAAAGGCCCGGCATGGCCAGGTGGTTAGAACGCTCGACTCGCAATCTGAAGGTCGCGGGTTCGAATCTCCGTCACACCGAAACATGCTCACCCGGTGTCCGAACTAGGACGCTAGTCCTACTCTCGGATACTCACCTCCAACAGAATTTGGAGGTGTGAGAACACCGTACGAAACAACAACAACAACAACAAAATTCCGGAAAATATCTAGATCATCGAGTAAAAATATACATTAAGTAAGGAAGTCTATAAATAATATCCTTACTTCTTAAGTTGTAAGCCCGTTTTGTATTACATCAAAGTGTGATTTAAGTTGAATTTGGCTTCTGAAACCTGCAATCAATATGAATGTTACTGTTGTCTTAAAAATTCTAACACGCTAATTCCATAGGAATTTCATAAGATCCAAGAAAGCAATGTGCAAAAAGGGCTAAAGCAGTTCAAAAACTAAGACATCTTTCAAAACCTTGGAGCAAATATACGCTTTTTTTATTATTTGAGTTCCAAGATCACAGTAAAATACGATTGGAACTGGAATTTTCAACCAGAAGATCACCCTATGTTGTATATTGGCTAAATCAGGTCACAGACCTCTAGGGTTCAGATATACCGGTTCCTAATTTGAACTATTGATTAGTGAACAGCATCTGTCACCACAAAAGCTTTGATTGCCCCTTTGAACTGAAAAAAAAGATTAACATCACTTTTATAACGCGAGCTTTGGACTCTTCGACCTACAGTTTAGAAAGGTAACCACTAAGTCACGCCCGGTCCAAAATACGATTGAATTCAGAAAATCCGAAACTAAGTTTGTAAATTTCAGAATCTGTGTTACCATAGAGAAGTGGTAAAATTAGGAGAATAACTCAGCTTAGACTTTTTAAGTACCTTGATCGGGCCTATTGCATCAGGGTGAAGCATAGACCAGTGAGAAAGATGGTTATGAGATGTGGTGTAACTGGTGGGTCTATAGGCATCACAAGGTCAACAAGTTGATTTTTTTTCCATAGACCTGATATGTAGAATCAACGTGCAGAAATCAGTGTCGGGAATATGTGATACTTTTATCATATCATAAGATAACAAGGACAATAGACGGAGCAAACTGGTAGGAAAGTATGGTAAATGGGAACTGGTTCTGTGGAAGGCAGAAACCTATTTAGAATTTCAATATTTAGGATTGGCTGGATCTTTCTATGCAGAACAAATGAAATGATTCTGTAACTTAATGCTGTTTATGCTTTCTCCTATATACCTTAAGGTGTGATGATGTTATTCACCTGGATTTACGATTCAGTTATTAGTCAAATGTGTATGTACTTATATAATGCCCATAATATTATATAGCAGCTGATATAAAAAATACTCTTATCTTGCTCACCAACAGAAACTACTCCAACATTTCACAACTGGCAACCTTCACCAAGTTTCTCGGAAAGGGAAGAATTTTGTGCTCCAACAATGGCCAGGAATATTTTGTGGAACTGGACTCGTCAAGGAGAGGTTGCAGTACAACAGTGTCCAGGTGGTTCTACAGGTAGAGTATTTCATAATTTAACTTTTTATTCAGTTTTTATATTTCATATTTAGTACTTGTAATAAAAAATTAATACCCTAAATCTTTGCAACAGTAATTTTAAATACTACTGCATCTTAAATGAAAAGATATCTTATTAATACAAAAATATTATCAAAACCGTGTGTGCAACTTGCTTTGAAGAACTTTTTTTGTCTTAATGCAAGGTTTTCTTGATAAAGAGTTGAAGGATATTTTATTTCCCTATTGCGAAAGTTTGTTTGTTTGTTTGTTTTTGAATTTCGCGCAAAGCTACACGAGGGCTATCTGCGCTAGCCGTCCCTAATTTAGCAGTGTAAGACCCTAATAGGGAAGGCAGCTAGTCATCACCACCCACCGCCAACTCTTGAGCTACTCTTTTACCAACGAATAGTGGGATTGATCGTCACTTTATAACGCCCCCACGGCTGAAAGGGCGAGGATGTTTTGGTGGTACGGGGATTCGAACCCGCAACCCTCAGATTGCTATTCGAGCGCCCTAACCACCTGGCCATGCCGGGCCTATTGTGAAAGCTTATATAAGTTTGTCATTATAGAATTGCCGAATTCTGGACGTCGTTAAGCAATGTTAGATAGAATATTCACTCTATAATATTGATACATTATAATTAGCCCGTATCAAAGTATTATCCATTGAAATAATGAATGGAAAAGAATAGTAGAGATCAGATTTATAAAAAAAGACCACCTTCGAAATTAATGTTAAAGTTTGAATAGATAAAAAATAGTTACATAAAATATTATTTAAGAAATACATTCATAACATATACTTTTATATTAATTTACTGTATTCGTATGTATTCATATATACGTGTATGTTAAAAAAAATAAATCGGTGATAAATAGTTTCTTTCTAAGGATGTAGAGAGTCATAAATTCTAAAGGACTCAGTGTCTTGTACATCATTAGAAATGTTACTGTGAATGTAATGCATTATAAGAATGAAATACTGGCGACCATTCTTAGGCTTTTCGATGATATCATTTGACTTAATTTCTTTTTGATGGACGACTATGCTCGTCCCCAACGTGTACGCATGAAAAGGAAGCTATCGTGAAAATAAAGTGGCCAGCATTATTTTTTTTTTCACGACTAGCTTCAGCGCTGGATGGATCAGTTATTTTATGGCGAAATATTCCCCATAATTTTACCTAAACACTCAACCAGGGTGTAAGGTGACGTTTCAGAGCTGCGTTGGACGCTATTAAGGCGAACAAAATATTTCTAGAACACCGATTTTCGATATTCTTGAACCGTAGATAGATACTCTCAAACTAGGAGGTGTGACGTGTCATACGGCTGCTGTGCAGCAGTGCAATGATCAATGCTTGGACTACTGTGATTTTCAGAATAGATTACATTTCATTTTTGTCAATAGTTTGTATGTCAAAATTTAACTATTTGCCAAATGTATTATAACGAATAATTGATCTTAATTTATTTTATCCAGTATAATGTAAGTGATGCATAGCAGTTAACATTACAAACGAATTCTGGAAGTTCCATGCTTGTGCTTGCTATTGAAATACAGCTAAAGTAATTAATTTCTCGTAAACTAATACATTGTAAACCCGATAGTACACACTTATGTATTCTATTTTTCAATTGTTCTATGCTTGTGCTTGCTATTGAAATACAGCTAAAGTAATTAATTTCTCCTAAACTAATACATTGTAAACCCGATAGTACACACTTGTGTATTCTATTTTTCAATTTAGTTTCTGGGTTTCTTAAACTACCCTTATAATTTTCAGCGCAATTCGTTGGTTTCCAAGGAGTGTAAGTTTTTAATATTATCATGATTATTGGTATGGTAATTCATAGTGTTTAAGCAGTGTATATCTGTAATGTTGTGGACACTATTGGTAGGGTTAGTTTCATTCATTAAGAGTATTTATTGACTCTTAAATACTGATGATGATTATTGAAATGCCCCCCCCCCTGTTGGCGCAGCGAAAAATCTGAAGGCTTATAACGATAAAAACCGGGTTTCGATACCCGTGGTGGGCACAGCACAGATAGCCCTTTGTGCTTAACTACTAACGAAAACAAAACAAATTACTGTAATTAGTTTGATTGTTAGATATTCATAGAATAACACTATTTTGATCATTGTTTCTGTAACTAGTTTGGTTCATAGATATTTGTAGATTGATATCACTTTGACCATTGTTTTGTACTTAGTATTGTTAGAGAATTGCAGAATTTCACCATTTTGATCATCATCATTATCATAGTTAATTACATCATTAGACATTTGTAAAACGTTGATATTTTTATCATTACTGTTGAGATTAGTTTTGTTTTTCGATACTGACAGAAATGCACCATTGTCATCATTATTATTATAGTTAGATATATTTTTGAAAATATATTTCTTAAGACAGCTTTTAGTACATTTGTTTTATATTCTTAAACAAGGGGTCTCTAGAGGGTCAAAGGACAGAGCGCACATGGCCTATTATGTAGCTTTGCGCTAAAAGACAACAATGATATCATACTGTATATTATAATTCAAACTTTAGTATTATACATTATTTAATTGCTTGATTTAAAAGTAAATATTAAAAGAACACAGATAAACATCGATTTTTGTGTGTCATTTGGTATGTTGAATGCAGCATTGGTTCAAATTAGATGTTTTTGAAGTCAGAATACCATGTCTATAGTTTTGTACGATATAGAAACTCAAATTACTGATATTGACAAGCTAGACTGAGATGCAGAATCTATGACAAAGTTGCACTTCCGGCCATCCAGCTAAAGACTTATATAAGTTTGTCTATTATAGTAATTGCCGTAATTCTGGACGTCGTTAACGCTAT